TTAAGGCCTGAAAACCCAGCCATATTTCCCCCAAAAATTGAGGCCCACAGCACTCGTATATGAAAACACTGGGGCTTTTTAACTTGTTGGCTTCAACGCGTCTCGCTCTCAGCAAACAAAGGAAAGTTTCTCATTTGTTATCGTAATTACAATGCTATCAGAAATTACAAACTCCTGCTGGCACAGCTCTTTTGAGAATTCCAACATTTTAGATTCGTGCACAAGATGCAGTAAAAACTAGAGCATTTTAAGAGTAGCTTCTTGCAAGTCTGAATGAAGCGCACGAATGGGAGCAGCAAAAAGCTTTTTAGAGTGTTTGTTTAATTTACACGAAAAAAAATTTTTTCCTGCTACGTGTCTGCTGAATAAACAAAAAAAACCTTTTCTGGCTCCGCTGCAAAGCTGCTTCTGATTAAAAAGCTTGTAACTTTACTTTTTTCTTAAATTCAATGACTAATGATACTGAATCTCACGAAAGAACAGGAAGCAGTGCCAATGTTTTGTGCATATAAACAATTACAAAGGTTGTTATCCGTGCAGAGCAGTTTAATTTTGTAGTTCGAAAGAAAACTGAAATTTTGCTTGAGAAATATTTTTTACTAAATCTGATGAGTTAATAACTTCACTTTTATTCGATGAATAACCTCAAAATAATTCATATTCGATAATTACGAAGAAGCAACGCACCTACATCGATCAGACGGTAGGTACTAAGATGTGCAGTCCAAGATTGGAGGTGCTGATATAAACGCACTCGGCTTGCCTGGAAGCATCTCAGTAAGATAACTAACGTGGAATTCTCACACCGATTTTCCGAGTGGTCTGAGCGATGCTTCCTTAAGATTACAATTTGATGTTTTTCATGCAAATGCTCTAATTCATCACAGCTGTTTTACGATCGCTTATGATGTGTTTGATAAGGGCATGTAGAAAGCATCTTTTGCACCTTAATCATTTAGCAATTCAATTTTTGAATGCCTCCTAAATTTGATGAGTTAATAACTTCACTTTTATCCGATGAATAACCTCAGAATAATTCATATTCAATAATTTTCACTTATAAGTGATAAAAATAATTGACTCTCAATGAGCTGAATTATGTCGAAAACCGGTAATTTGATAATTACATCAGTACTTCGACTAGTGATTTTTAAGGTGATTCTGCAGCTAATGATCTGGCAATCTTTCCAGTTTTTTAACCCATGCAGTAATGCCTGGTGGTCAGTCCTCTGGTGATCTTGGCGTTTGTTTTGCTTTTTGACGAGATTACCAGCTTAACGGTTTATTCAACAAAGTACGTTGCTGGACTTTAACGTTTCGAAGTATCCTGGGTGTGTATGTGTTGTTGAGCATCACCATCTTGTCGCAAATGTTGTCACTCCTAGAACACGATGGGATACCACACGGACCAGGGAAATATCGGTCACCGGAAAACAAAAAGCTTTCTCTACAAATAAAGAATTTCGATTTCAACGAATAGCTACAAATTTACTTAAAATATTTGCTCTAATTAATTATTTCCTTGTTACGAATATAAATTTTCAGATGGAGTGTTCGGAGCATAGAAATGTGACGGAATCAGGAACTGCAGTAAACCAAGCAGGACGATTACAAGGGTCAGCTGGGCCATCTCCCAGACACTCACAACACCAGCACAACAGTCCAGGGCTGCAACAAACTCCCGGATCATCATCATCGCCATTACCATCGTCATCATCATCATCATCCTCAACACCAACAGCAACAATAGATCCTTGTCAGCAGCAACGTTCATTCGGAGGAGTCGGTGGAGGAGGAGGAGGAGGAATCGGGGAGGGTGGAGTCAAAGTTCGGCCTCGCCCACAAATACCACCGAAACCGCAGATGGACGCCGTCAGATATAGCATGGCAAATGTACAAGGTCAGTTTTTTCCCCTCAGTTTCTCTTCCTCTAGCTGTATATACATATATACGTATGTCATATTTGCATAATGGTCAGTGGTCATCAATGACCCGCCCCGAGTAATATTGTTTACTCATGCGATCTGCTTGCTGTTGTTTAACGATTTAATTTTGGAGCCGTTTTCAATAATTTTTATGGCGAATGGTAACTTTTTCCATTAATTCATTGCATTAAGAATCAGTTTACTCCGTCTTCGTTCCCTCATTTTCTTGCCTCCTCCATTCCCTCCTTGTCCGTCTCTCTAATTCCTTGACCTCCGCCACCTCCATACGC